TTTACTTAATTCACTCAGGGTTGTCACAAATATTCACTTCGTAAGAAGCCAATATACGTGATGTACAATAAAGCAAAACACAACAAAACGAGGTAAGCCTTTGCATTTCAAGGATCCTTTCTCCATAGAAAATCAATTTCATAGTTTCTGGGAGTTACACCATGGGCATACTTTGGGATGTCCACTATTCAACCTACTGTATCTTTGAAAGAGTCCTCCTTATCACCACCCTTATCCAAACCAAACACAAACAGGAAATAAGATCACATTTCTGTGGATGGTGCAAATTAAAGATCTTAAAGAGTTAAAAAAGGCAGGATGATTAGCTCCATCATATCTGAGCCCCTCATATCTGGTAGTGGACTCCTGCAAACTCATCCAAGAATTCACTCTACTCTTAGTCTCTGTTTCAAACTTAATTCACTCAGGGTTGTCACAAATATTCACTTCGTAAGAAGCCAATATACGTGATGTACAATAAAGCAAAACACAACAAAACGAGGTAAGCCTTTGCATTTCAAGGATACTTTCTCCATAGAAAATCAATTTCATAGTTTCTGGGAGTTACACCATGGGCATACTTTGGGATGTCCACTCTTCAACCTACTGTATCTTTGAAAGAGTCCTCCTTATCACCACCCTTATCCAAACCAAACACAAACAGAAAATAAGATCACATTTCTGTGGATGGTGCAAATTAAAGATCTTAAAGAGTTAAAAAAGGCAGGATGATTAGCTCCATCATATCTGAGCCCCTCATATCTGGTAGTGGACTCCTGCAAACTCATCCAAGAATTCACTCTACTCTTAGTCTCTGTTTCAGATGTGATATCTCTGCTAGAGCATAATAACACATCTTCAGGTACATGGTAGGAGGTCATTGCTTTGGTGATTGTGTTCTCTGCCATCTCTACCTGAAAAGACAAGGTAGAGTTCTCTTTCACTTGAAACAGAAACAGCAGACATTTACAATTTTTACTGAGAATTTTATAAAATAAAATTTCTTCTCTTCCCTCTTAATACAGACCAATGAGATATGAATTATCTGGATATACTTCAAAAAACTGTGTTAACTGACTGTTGATAGCATTGTGCTAGTCAGGCGGGATGAGCAAGAAATGGCTAGTACATTGGACACCTGTGTAAGATATGTCAGTGTCAGAGTAGAAGATAAACCCTATAAATATGTGATATGCCACGTCAATGAAATTAATTGAAATCCCGTGGGGTATTTGAGTTCATCATTTCAAAAGGAGAACAGATTTTTCCATTTTGCCTTTCTACAGAGGGGAAAAAAAATACAGTTATTTGAAGGCATTTTTAGGAATTAGAAGTATATGTATTCCATCCTGTGACTCATATGCCAAGTAACACACACACAAAAATACCCGTTGTAAGTGGGCCCAGAACTGGATGGAATTCTGCAGTAGGTCTAACTTGTGATGGACTGTAGTATTAGGTAGACCTTGCCTGGAGAATCCCATGGACAGAGAAGCCTGGTAGGCTACAGTCCAAGGGATTGCCAAGAGTCAGACACGACTGAAGTGACTTAGCATGCACACACGCGTAGTATTAAATACATCATAATGAGAGAAAATACTATGTAGGATCTCTGCCAACCTTAAAGACAGAATCACAGCACAGCAATATGAAGTCACCTGGACTGGAGAACTATAGGTATTTGGAAAAACAACTTCTGACATGCTATGGGACTCTGTTAGAAATGCAATACTCAACGATGGGACATAGTGCTGTTTCCCACCAGAGATCATTCATCAAAGAATAGGCATTAGGCAATTAAGGAGACAAAACTACGCAGCCAGGTAACTTAGACACTCTTTGTCATCATCCACTCCGGTGCCATTCCCTAGAACAAACTTACAATGTGGTTTGGGTGACAGCAAGTGAAGCCGTGCCTGGGCCCCAATATATGAGCTCCTGTTTACCAATACATGGGCTCACGTAACTACTTCCTAACTGACTGTAAAGAGAATCACACCTGCTAGGAGTCTAATTAAATACTGAGTTCCTGATATGGCACCACTGTTTGTGATGACCAACTGGAAATTAGCGGTTGATTTCCTACCTTGGATCTCTTTCACACTGGCTATTTACCCTGACAACAAGAGCCAATTATTATTGGGAATGAGTTTACCTATCACTTGAATGTTCTCTACAAAATGTTCACATTCAAGTGACATGAAATTTTAGCAATTTAAACTGTTCAAAGCACTGAAAGATGTAAAAGTGTTTAAAAACCAAGTTTGTAAGACTGCAGGTGAAAATTGACTTCAACATGAGAAATCAGTGAACTAAGATGGACAGGAATAGGGGAATTTAACTCAGATGACCATTATATCTACTACTGTGGGCAGGAATCCCTTAGAAGAAATGGAGTAGCCATCATGGTCAACAAAAGAGTCTGAAATGCAGTACTCGGATGCAATCTCAAAAATGGCAGAATGACCTCTGTTCGTTTCCAAGGCAAACCACTCAATATCATGGTAATGCAAGTCTATCCCCCAATGAGTATTGCTGAAGAAGATGAGGTTGAACGGTTCTATGAAGACCTACAAGATATTTCAGAACTAACACCCCAAAAAAGATGTCCTTTTCATGATAGGGAACTAGAATGAAAAAGTAAGAAGTCAAGAAACACCTGGAGTAATAAGCAAATTTGGCCTTGGAATACAGAATGAAGCAGGGCAAAGGCTAATAGAGTTTTGCCAAGAGAACACACTGGTCATAGCAAACACCATCTTCCAACAACACAAGAGAAGACTCTACACATGGACATCACCAGAAGGTCAACAACAAAATAAAAAAGATTGATTATATTCTTTGCAGCCAGAGATGGAGGAGCTCTATACAGAGCAAAAACAAGACCAGGAGCTGACTGTGGCTCAGATTATGAACTCCTTATTGCCAAATTCAGACTTAAATTGAAGAAAGTGGAGAAAACCACTAGACCATGCAGGTATGACCTAAATCAAATCCCTTATGACTATACAGTGGAA